CATAGCCAGAGTTCTCTTGTGTCACCTTCCTGCCTACAGCAGCTCGCAGAAACCTGTTCTAGTGGGAAATTTCATGCTACTAAGGCCACTTACAGTTTCTTGCTCTACAACTCTATTTTTCCCACATTTTTTTAAATTTTAGCATTCACCATCTGTGTTAAAGAGGATATTCCACACCACACTGCTGAATCCTTCAGTCTAAAGTAGCAGGTAATCTAGTGCCTTAGTCCCAATCCTGCTGGCACTACAACAGGCTAAGACCTCTCCCTATATCTGTTTTAAGCAGATGAGGTAAATAGATCAGCTTTCATTTGATATTGTGAACTGATTTTATACTAAGAACTGGTGTGTCCTAGCTTGTTCCCAATTTACCCTGCCACTTAAGCCCATGGTGCTCTTGTGCTTGAGTAAAGCTATAAACAGCCTGGCTCCCTGTTTGCAAAGAGGCCTCATTTCACTAAATGGTAGAAAACAGCTCTCCACTTGTCCCATCTTCATGAAATAATGTGGTTTGGTTTTTTTTAATTAGGCTCAGTGGCCTTACTGTCAGAGGCACTGAGACAGGCACAAAGTAGATGTTAAACCACTAATTCAAATGCTTTCCATGAATCAGAGAATAGCAGAAAATACCACTAATGTTTATAACCCAGATCACCACCCAAATCTACTGCAATGCAGGCACTTCTGCACTCCCAGAAATTTCCTGTGTCTCACTGATATGTTCCTGAAGGCCCAACAAATAACAACCTGTTGTCCCTTCAGCTTTGGTACACCCATCCTAGCACAGATATGCCAGCCAAACCCTCTTCCCTGACAAAGGTGATACCATTTCAAAGAACAAGACTAAATGGCACCAAATACATTTTTGATACCTGTGCTAAGCTGCATAGCCAGTATTTTGTTGGTATTGAAATGTTGCAAAATGATACTGGTAAAAATTCCCAGCATGGGCATGAGTTTTGGGCTATCTCTCACTGGAAGTCTCCATCCTTCCAGTGCCTGATGCCCATTGATTTCAGGAGGATAGGCAACATAAGTAAACACAGTGTGAATCAGCAGATGAAAGCTCTGAATGGGTTCCAGGGGCAGGGACATAGAGTCATGGCAGGGATGCCTGGGGGGGGTCTCTCGCCCACCCTCCCACTCGCTACAGTACTATTGCCAACAGTAGATCAGCGCAGTTGTGACCTTGTCTAGCTGAGTCTTGGAAATCCCCAAGGATGAAGATGTCAGAGTCCACAAGTCTTCAACATGTTTTCTTTCCAAGGAACACGAAGAGTAAGGCAAGTTCAGTTCTTCGCAAGGGGAGTCAATTATTTAAAAAGGAACATCAGATAATGGCATTTATCATTCTTTGTCTAAAAGCTTTCCTTGATGTTAAATCCGTTCAACATTCAACCAAATTCTTTTTGCTGCAGTTTGTTGATATCCACCTTAATCATTGGCTATTTCATTTAAGACCTACTCATTACTGATTGTATATAAAAACTATTCCTGTTTTGCTTAGCATGCTTTGGGGACATAAGGAACAGACTTTCTCATTTGTGCCAGAGGTTGTCACTTCAGTCCAATGTGGCTGGGGTACTTTGGGATTTTTAGCAGTAGGTCTTTGCTCACCTAGCTGATTTGCACAGATTTAAGAGGGAAACACTCCCACAGGCAGACCCAAGCAGTTGAGCATCTCCAGCAAGCATGAGTGGTTGAGGACAAACGATATAGGTGGAGCAATAAAAAGACCTTCCTGTCACCGTCACTAGGGTAGTCACGATCAATGGCCAATCTTTGCAGCAGGTACATCTCAGAAGCACCTAGGACTCACTGGAGCAGCAGCAAGAGCAAGGTGTGCCAGAAGGGTTTCAGCCCCAAACGTTTTGCTCAGCAGCTTGTTTTATTTCGTTTCTTCCAAGACCAGCCCTGCTGGAAGCAGTGGCAAATATTCAGTCACTCCTTCCTATACAATCACTTTCTTCTTAGGTGAACCTGAGGCTCTGAACTACGCCCTTTGTTCTCTAGGCCAAACATAGACTCTCACAGGTAACATTTCTTTACTCCAAGAGAAGGACACAGGCACGCACTTCTGCTGTGAATTCTGCCCTTAGTCAATTCTGCTGCTCTTATTATCTTTCAGTCACAAAAATCTCTGTCTTGGCTCACAACCTTGCTAATGCCTAACCGCTGGGCAGCAGAAGAATATGAAGTACATATAAACTCATCAAAGGAACCTTTTTCTTTCAGGGAGTCATATACGTTTACTTAGAAGAGTGACTAAAGTTCAAATAAATTCTAGCTTCCAAGCACAAAGGGTTGTTCCACTAAGGCAGAAAACAGCCCTTCTCTGTAGGGATATAACTTCTAATTACGTATTGCTCCCTGCAGCCTATACACTAGGATCATTATTATCTTCCATGTTCATTAATCGGCTACCTGATGTTAAAAAGAAGATAACTTCTAGGAGATATGCAAATAATTCTGCAATTTTCTTTTGCAGTGACGCAGCATTCATATCAGAAATGTGTTAATTAAGAAGCCTCTGCATAATTAGCCTCTTCCTTGCCTCCACTTCTTAATAATTTATGGAAGAAAATGGGTATTTTCTAATAGTTGTGTAAGTTGTCTTTTCTTCTATTTAAAAAATCTCATTTCTTTCATTTTCCCTTCTCTGGAGACCTGTGTCTAAAATTGTATTTGAATAAGGCAAAGTTAAATACTGTCAGTGAAAAGAATTTAAACAAGTACAATGAAATACTTTCACAGCACTGAGGCAGCTGGACTGGCACCAAGTTAAAATATGAGTGTCATGCTGAGAGTTAATAAAGCACCTGCAAATTACGTTTCCATATTTTCTGTTGCAACATCAAGGGGAAGCATCTGAGACAGAACACATGGCTGTGAATGAGTTCATGTTACTGTCACAGACAGACAACTGAAGCAATGTTAAACCTAAAGGGTCCCCTCCACCCTGTTTATCTGGGATCAAGTGTAACAAATTGATGAGCATGTAATTAACTCATTGGAAAATACATTAGTGTGGAGAATGTGGGGGCGGGGGGGCAGCTATTCTCTTAGGTGTCATGATGACAGTATGCATCCATCTTGTGCTTGCTATGCCAGAGTTGTTCAGGAGAAAGCTTCTCTGGGCTACCAACAGCTGGGGCATTGAGTTCTTACTTGGGGTTTTTTGTTTGTGTTTTTCCTGTGCAAACACAGCTCTATGCAAGAGCTTTGATCTTAATTGTTTAAAGACACGAACTTAAGAAATTAACAACTTAGATAACTCCTACCCTTGGTTTTCCTTTCTTCATCTTCCCCTTGATTTTTCTTTCCTCACCTTCAGCTGGCACTTTTTCCTTTGAAAAATCACACATCCGAGAAGCAAGGAAACCCACCCTAGCCTAACTCTCCAATATTTAACCCCTGATGCTCCTTCTCCCAAGGAAATCTCGCTGGGACCTAAAGGTCCCCAAAAGATGGCATATCCAGCAACCACCCACCCATAACAACGTAACAGAAAGATGCCCTCTTCTAAAATGGCTTAGCAGGCAAAGCTAGGGAAGGAGATCAAGCAGAGAGAAAGAAATACATGCTTCACCAGCCACCAAATGTTCTTATTAGGCATCTTGCTTAAAATATCCAAGCCAGAGGGTTTTGCATGAAACTTCCCTTGTAATGGGTAGTAATTTCAAAGGTGTTCTCTGAATGGCAATCTAACACTGCAATCAGTTTGCTGAGGTTACCTGGAGGAATAAGAACATATTCAGCAGATAATAAAATAACCTCCCTGTGGTACCCTGCAGGCAGGGCACACTGTCAGAAACACACAGGAGAAGAAAAGCCATGTTTGGAAGGACTCAGAGGCTGACAGAGAGACAAGAAGGATGTGTATGATGCCTGCATATGTACCTATATGGGACATACCAAAACATTTGAAGGGTCTAAACCCTAGCTCATATACACAAGTGTAGGCCATTCTATGAGAAGCCCGTATCCTAGATATAAGGAAACTGCATAAAAATTCCAGAGCCAGACTCTGTGTAGAGCTAACCTCTGGGCTCTGCAAAGCTAACAACTCTTATCGGCAGCTAACAGATGAGATACTCTCTAGAGAGCTGTGCTGCCCAGACATCCAGGCGTGCTGACAGGACAGCATGCCAAGCCTTTCCAGGCCCTGCTGGCCTGGATTCCCATGACTTTGGATGCAGGCAGGTTGGCTTTATTGCTGGGGCTGTATTAATTTCTCTTCCACTTGGCAGGAATGCACTCATAGCTCAGCACAAGCCATCTCATGTCACTTTATGACGAGACAGGGGCTAGGACCTTAACAGCCACATAGCACTGCACGTGTATTTCCTACTTGCTCGCGCTGCCCAAGACACTCTACAATCAAAGCGCAATGCTAACGAGGTGAAGCCACGCAGGGAAACCCGGGAAATGCTGAAATTACCACCGGGTGCCCACGATTAACTCCGCTGCCCCGCTGCACAGCCCTGACATTAAAGCTTTCTGCACCGCTCCGTGCATCGCAGAAGCAGAGCCTGGTTAGTTGCTGACTACTGGATATTTTGGGGATTCCCTGTGGAAATGGCAGGGATAAGCGACCCCACGGGGACCTGCCGGTGGGGCAGGCACAGGCTTGCCAAGGACGACGTTCACGCCCCTCAACCCCACGTTCCCCCAGCAGCCGGAGTGGAGGTTCCCGATCCCTTCTCCACCCCCGGAGGTGCCTGCCCCCTCCCCAAACCCGCAGGTGAAGACGATAGCACATCCCTCCCCACCTCTCCCGGCGCCTCCAGCCCCACGGGTGCCACCGCTCCCTGCGGCGGGTCCTTACTCCCTGCCTCTCCGGTATGTCTCGGGGCCTTCCCACTCCGGTGGAAGCCCCACGGGGTCCTCGACCCCCCCCACGTGTCCCT